AACGGACAAACTCCCTTGGCATGCTTATCTCTCTATTTGGCTGATTTCTACTCTTTCCAGCCGCCTTCCCAAGCCTGGTAGAGGCTAAGGCGAAGGGTGAATGCCTGGTTTACCATTGCTAATGTTGACATGGCATTGTTGGTTCCACCGGGCAAATATAGGCAGGCTGATGGGTAATAACTTGCTTGTTCATAATCTAAGTATGCAGTGTAAAGACGGGCGCGTCAGCGAGCTGCCATCCTGGGGGTCGAGTCAACACAACACGACAGATCAGGTAACACCACTGTTAGACCAGGCCAGGCTGGACACAAGTATTCATACTCATGTCCCTGAAAGACTCCACAATGGAGGCATAGACATGGTTTAAATGCTAACCCTTAGGACAAAAACAATGAGGTACTACAGCAAAGCTAGGGCTACAATAGAAACTGGCAGTGTATGCACAGTCAGACACATGTAGTGGCTTCTATGACTACAATGTAAGCTTCACAGATTCGTTGAAAGTATGGACCCTCTTGTTTACATCCCTCCAATCTTTTGAAACTGGTCACTGTCCATATTTTTCAGTCGTTTGGCTAAAAAAAATTTCACAATGTTAACATTAACAGAATTCCGCCTTGAATGAATGAATGATTTGATCATTTTGATCAGATGAAAAATACATTATTATCTAATCAAAAGACTTGTATGCCATATAAGAAACAAGAGGAGCGAGTAGAAACAGATAAAATTTGAGAAAACCCCTGGTCCCGGGCCGGGGTGCGAACCCACGACCTCCCGAGCACCAGTTCATACTCCGACGCTATAACCACTCGGCTAAAAGGTCTAGCCCCATCAGCCAGGTCAGTTGGTAGCGCCTATTAACCCCCCCACTGTTACAACCATACCAAGAAAGTGGTAGGAGGGGGTCCGGTCCGTACTTTAGGGGTTGTATTTTCCCAAAGGCTACATGTAGCTTATAATGTACTATACACACTAGGGACATGTCCTAATATTCATGCTTGATGTATATTTGTAGGTTCCCAATCTTATCCAGTCCCAGATCACAAACAGAAACTTGCAAGATTGTGTAGAACTTGCGGGCTTCAATATATCGACCCCCACGCTAGTGTGTATATTTCAGAGACTATAGCATACTTGTATAAAATAAGGATATGCCTGCCTCCTTCAAATTAAAGACCATCTTTAAAATCAGTCCAAATAAATTAGTCCTCATTGCTTGGTCGCCCTGTTGTGAATTTGTGTTCAACAATATTAGCAGGGGCACTTGAAACCACTTTGCATCTATAAAAATCATGGGGTTATTCGTATAAAGGTGCCAACTGCTTTTTTCACACAAGTCAAACTTTGATAAATAGGGACTAATTCTTTTATAATGTCCTTGCACAAATATGGACTTTCACAGTGGTTTTATTTCGCAGATACTGCATGAGAAAAAACTGTTCAAAGTACAATGTAAAATTTAGCCTTTATGTCAATATCATTTACCTGTATCAATATCTAATGATGGTTAGATATTAAAAGTAATAGATAGACAGGCATGTCCTTGTTCCAGATAAAATGTTTTTCTAACCTGTTGCTAGCCCTTCCAAATGAATCTTTATTTGGCCCACATAATTTTCAAATATTCTCCACAGACTTGAACAGTGTTGGAAGACACCAGAGAAAGTTTGTCTTAAAAAAACAAGGCCTGACAAAAGGAGGAGGTTTAGACTGAGAGCTAGTGTATGATGCCATAACCATTATCCTCAAATTCTAGGAGGGCCTTGGAGGATGGGGGTGGGTAGTGATTATGAATTACGCTAAATTTTCGCCGCCGATTACGAATTACGTTACATTCTCAGAGCTGTTCACGAACAACTATGTGTTACGATTAACGTACTGATTGCGATTTGGGGAGCTGCCTACAGATACGAAGACTTAAAAGGGCACGATTACGCCTTATGAAAAAGGGAATGCAGGCCCTCTCAGAGGCACTGGCCACACAAGAAAGGTTTTTTTATTTAGCACAAGCTGTGATCAGCCTCACCACTTCCTGGCTACTGCTGTTTCCTGCTGCTACTTTGCTGATCCAAGTAGATAAAGTAGAGTTATCCCATCCACTCGGACTCTTTTATCTCACATTTCTTAAACCGGACTACCGGAGAGAGAGAGAGAGAGAGAGAGAGAGAGAGAGAGAGAGAGAGGCATTGTTGTAGTTTCTTCCAAATAATGATGAGGATATCTAGTAGCACTCGAATGAGGACATGTTTGTCTTTCCGATAGCAGAACCATCATAACATGTTCTCTCACTAGTCTAAGATTTTTAGGCAGGTTTTAACTCACCATCCAGACACCTGCTGACTGTGTCCTGCATCCGTATGACCAGAGGAAGGGACAAAGGCGCATGGAGCATACAGACTGGACTTTTTGCACGTCGTTAACATGAATGACCTAACATGGACCGACTGAAAGAAGGCATGCCCCAATCTGCAACATTAGCCGCTCTCAGAAAGCTGAGACCATTGTCGTAACAGCCCCGACTCCACAGGTGTATGGGGGCAATTATCAGGATGCTGCCGTACATGTTTCCTTTGTGGTCGTCCCTTCCATAGCGGTGGTGCACTGGGAAGGGGCTGCTCCTAGCAAATATCGAGTGACAGCCACAAACAATGACTTAGGAAATATTTGACATTCCAGGGGCCGGGGCCGTTGGAGGGGGAATCAAGAACAAGTGATTTGCATGAAAAATGCTAATGGCACTGTGGGCCTGCGCACTATGGCAGGCAGAGTGCAATGACCTGATAAGATTTAGACTTCGGGAGTGGACAATATTTAGTGTGGAGGGCTGGTTGTCTTAGGGGAGTTGGCCTAGGAAAAAAATTAGAGCTGGGGGGGGGCGTAGTCACGCCGTCGGGAATTCTCTTTACATGGCAGTGGATAGGAGTTGTAGTCATTTGGGGCTAAGGCCACACCGACTTAATTTTGATAATTTTTATGGATGACATCCTCTGAAGACCCCCAAAGTGCGCGCGGGCGAATAACAAAAAATAAACATGCTACTAAACGGTAAACCACAGGAATACAAAGCTGGTATTGTGAATTTGCGGCAATACGACATGCCGGCAAATGCTGGCTTTTTGTGGAATTTACGAATCAACACTGTACGAATACACTTTTTTTGAGTCATCGTGGAGCTTCGGTAGCCCGGGTGATATCCTCCAGAGTTACCACCTCCGTATTGTACCTACTCTCCAAGCAGAGGTTGTGGGGAATTATCGTTACCTTTTTATATATGGCCATTTTTACCTCCGGGGAAGGAGATATCCTTCCGCGAGGAGGTTTTACTATTGTTCGAAACATTTCTGTCAGCAGCTGTTTCTCGCGATCGGCTGGACGGATTGGTCTGTTGTTCGGTATACGTATTGCTATTGGGCTGCAGATGATGCAGAACGTTTTTGTTTAATTGCATATGTGTTTATGGGCGTCGAAATAAAAGGTTTTTAAGTGCTCTGGACACCCCCGTTATGCTGAAAATGGAATTTACCATGTTGTTAAGGAATGGGGAGGTTGCAGTTTTGGGTCTTAGCATTCAAAAGGGGTGTCTGGTTCCGATAAAAACGTTGGGTGACGGCGCAGCAATGACGGCGCGGGATGACGGCGGGGGTAATGGCGCGGGTGACGCTGAACGCTGGGTGCAAGCCGAGTCAG